CTGCCAGTCTACTCACTACTTGTTTAGACACAAGCAGGGATGAATCCAGACCAGAGACAGCTGCCCGGAGACACGTAGGTTAGAAAAGCATGAATTCTTTTTAGGTGCAGACTGGAGACGGAGACCAGATGGAGGAAGGCGGATCACGGGACCCTGGAAGCTGCCTGATACCACGCCCCTTCTTCCCCATGCACATTTTACTTATAGTAGATAGTTTGAATGTGTGGTGAGTTAGTTTTTTCTGGACCAGGGGCAGTGTGTGACTTGCGTGGAGCGCCCACCAATGTCATACTTTTATATTTTATATAGAGAATAAGGGATAGTTACTTTTGGTCCGAACAGCTGTTTTAGATTCTTTTTGTATTAGGGAAATAAACCTTTTTGAATTTAACTTTCTGAATCATGGTCATCTTTATAAGGGATTTTGAACACGTCATTTTTTAATACGTTAGCCTGCAGCCCCCAGCGCTACGCGGGCCACGAGCTCCGATTCACGGGTTCATGCTAGGCCCTCCCAGAGAGGCAGGCGGAGGGATCTGGTGAGTAATAAGGTGTGTGCTTCGGCCGAACGCGTGTTAGCATCTCCGAGCTACGAGGCTAACACGGGGTTTCCCACTCCAGGGGCTCGCCCCCCCCTCCATGAGGCAAGAGCCAGGGGGGGGCACAGCAGCCGAGTCACGTGTGGTGAGCAGTCCCGTACTTATGACGTCGGGCCTACAGAACACGTGACCGCCCCCGGCGCTCACGGTGTGACGCAGGGGCCCCCCCGGCCCTTTCAGCCACCCCCCCTCCCTGCTAGGAACACCAGGAGAGGGCGGGGCCGTGACGTGTTCCAGCTCCCGTTCCGCCCCTCACAGACTTCTACAGCATCTGGAGGGAGCAGGGCCTACTGACAGATATTTGGCTGGAGAAAACTTTGCGCAGGGGTTACGCACTGCAATTTTTCCGAAAGCCACCACCATTCCGAGGCGTACGGGCAGTACGCTCTCAGGTACGGGGATCGACAGAGGCACTACAAGCGGAGGTCTCCTCTCTGCTGAGTCGAGGCGCAGCAGTGGAGGTAGACCCGCAGGACGCCACCAGGGGGCTGTACTCCCCTTACTTCTTAGTGCCAAAGAAGTCAGGCGGGGTGCGTCCCATTCTGGATCTGCGCGTGTTAAACGAGTGCATTTCCAAACGGCAGTTTCGGATGCTGTCCACAAGGCAGCTCCTCGAGTGTGTCAGGGAGGGAGACTGGATGACATCCATAGACCTGACAGATGCGTACTTACACGTGCCCATAGTGCCAGAACACAGGAGGTTTCTGCGCTTCGCAGTGGGAGAGAGGAATTACGAGTACTGCCGTCTACCCTTCGGGTACGCACTCGCGCCTCGGACTTTTTCCAAATGTGTGGAAGCAGCTCTGGAGCCGCTCAGACGCGCGGGGGTAAGAATATTAACCTATATAGACGACTGGTTAATTCTGGCCTCATCCAGAGAAGTGGCCGTGAGCCACACGCACTGGGTCCTGTCCCACATACAGCGCCTGGGCTTTGTGGTGAACAGGGAGAAGAGCAAGCTGCAGCCAGCCCAACGCATGGTTTATCTCGGCCTGCAGCTAGACTCTGTGACATTCCGTGCTGCATTGTCCGTGGACAGACGGATGAATATTACCCGTCTGGCCCGGGAGGTTCTGGCGGGCCCCAGAGTCCCCGCTCGGCGCCTCAGGTCCCTGCTGGGAATGATGGCGGCGGCTCATGCTGTGGTGCGGCTAGGCCTGCTCCACATGAGAAATTTTCAGAGGTGGTTCTCGCGCCTCAGGCTTCACCCCTCCCGGGACGGGGGGAGGCTGATCTGGGTTCCCCAAGTGGCAGCTTCGGACATCAGGTTCTGGCTCACTCCGGGTCTATTGCGGGACGGAGTGACTCTAGCTGCGCGTGTCTCACGCGGTTCACGGCCAGAGCTCTGTAGGAGGGGGCGGGTCCTCGTCGGACTCAACCCGTCACATCAACTTGCTGGAGATGGAGGCAGTACACAGAGTACTGCTGCACTTTGCTCCTCAGCTGCAGGGGAGACACGTGATGGTTCGCTCAGACAACACCACAGTGGTCTCCTATCTGAACAGGCAGGGGGGCACCAGGTCCCCCGCTCTCCATCGCATGGCGACAGTGACGCTGCTGTGGGCGGCGCTTCACCTCCTGTCTCTCAGGGCGCGCCACGTCCCGGGGGTCCGGAACGTGGGGGCCGACAGGATGTCCAGGGGGGGCCCGCTCCAGGACGAGTGGGGCCTGGCCCCGCGGGTAGCTGCGGAGATCTGGCGGAGGTTCGGCCGTCCAGCGGTCGACCTTTTCGCCAGTGCAGAGAACGCACAGTGCCCGTCCTGGTTCGCCTTAAGGGCCGCGGACGAGCCGCCCTTAGGCGTGGACGCTCTGGCTCATTACCCCTGGCCAGGGGCCTGCTGTACGCTTTCCCACCGGTGCGTCTCCTGCCGGTCCTGCTGCGGAGGATCGAACAGGAGAGGAGGTCGGTGATCCTGGTGGCTCCGGACAGTCCGCATGCCCGGTGGTTCCCCTTCCTGAGGGGCATGGCGGTGATGGAGCCCTGGGCCCTCCCGGACGAGCCGGGGGCTCTAGTCCAGGGGGGAGGAGCCCTGTTTTCACGCCCGATAATCGGCCGCAGGCTCCGGGTTTGGAGGCTGAGAGGCGGAGCCTCGTAGACCTGGGTCTTCCCCCTGCGGTGGTGGAGACCATTCAGGGAGCGAGGGCGCCGTCCACTGTGAGGGCCTACGCCACGAGGTGGAGGCTATTCAGTGTCTGGTGCGATTCCCGTTCCTGGGATCCCAGGTGTTGCCCGCTGGAGGGGGTCCTGGGATTCCTACAGGAGCTCTTCGACAAGGGGAGGGCTGTCGCTACCTTGGCGGTGTTCGCGGCAGCCATTACTTCGGGTCACGACGGATTCGGGGGGTTCACAGCCCGTTCTCATCCGTTGGTTAAACGTTTTCTGCGGGGGGCGCGCAGGAGGAGGCCCCTGCTCCAGAGAACGCCTCCGATTTGGGACCTCAGGGTGGTCCTTAGGGGGCTGTCGGGTCCGCCTTTTGAACCGGCGGCGGAGGCAAGTCCCGAGTGTATCGCCTTTAAGACGGCCCTCTTGCTGGCGTTGGCGTCTGCTAAGAGGGCGGGCGATTTGTGTGCGCTCTCCGTCCATGCGTCCTGCCTGTCCTTTGGAGAGGACGACGGCATGGTGGAATTGTGGCCCAATCCGGCTTTTCTCCCCAAGGTCATCACGTCGGCCTTTAGGTCGAGAGTCATCAGGATTAGGGCTTTCCATCCGCCACCGCATGCCTCCCCCGAGGAGGAGCGGCAGCGCCTTCTGTGTCCTGTCAGAATGCTGAGGCATTACCTGGCCATGACGTCGTCATTCAGGTTGGGTGGTCAGCTGTTTGTGTGTCTGGGCCCCAAGAACAGGGGCGCCCCGCTGTCGGCTCAGCGGCTGGCGCATTGGGTCGCCACGGCTGTGCGGCGGGCGTATCAATCACAGGGTCTGGCCCCCCCGGTGGGTTTCAGGTCGCATTCCACGCGTGGGATGGCGGCCTCTACGGCCCTTCTCAGGGGGGCGTCGGTCGAGGACGTCGGTCGAGGACGTCTGCCGTGCGGCTTCTTGGGCGTCGTCCTCCTCTTTCGTCCGGTCTTATCTTTCGGATGTGTCGGACCGGTCGGTGGCCCATTCCGTGCTGAGTGCAGCGGACTGAGTTAGACCGTTGGGTCCCTCCCCTGAGGGGGCCTTCGGTTTATTTCCGCCCTGGTGCAGGAGCTCTTGGGAGAGGCATCCTACAGGTGCGGTACATTTTTGTGTGTTTGGTCGGTCTGGTAGTCCACGTCAGGAGCTCTTGGGAGAGGCGTCCTGTGACTACGGATGACCTACGGCTTGTGTTACGTGGGGGTATCCTTGGTAGGAGTGGCCCCGTAACACGCTTGTTTCTTCTGCCCTGAGTCCTCTCACGTTGTGAGGGTCTTGCTCGGGCGGAGCTCCAATCACCCTTCGCTGGCCTGCTGGGAGTACATTTTCCTACGGCCTCCGCGTTGTGTCCCACTAGCGAAGTCCTAAGGGACGTAGCACCATGACGTAGAATTAATAGTTACTTAATGTAACTTAAGTTCTACGAATAGGTGCGTAGTCCCTTAGCTACGAGCCCATCCGGCCAGCCCGGCTTGACAGAGTTCAAGAGGGGGTGCGGCCTTGTGCAGGGGCATTTATAGAGGAAGGTGGCTGGTGATTGGAGCAAATTATTTTGATCTCTCTGGCGTGTGACCTGGGGGTCACGAGTGATATCCCACTAGCGAAGTCCTAAGGGACTACGCACCTATTCGTAGAACTTAAGTTACATTAAGTAACTATTAATTCACGCGTGAAAGGCGACAAAACGAAATGGGACCTTAAGGCTTACAATATCAGTGTCATTCTAAAGGTACACCACAAGGCGTCAGTACAGACCACGAGTGAATTACAAATAATCATTTTAAATACTGTACGTTTTGATGAATTAATGGTTTTGATGACGTTTGCCACTTTTAACGCAAAGGTCTCACGCGTGATGCTTGTTGAAGGTAAGCTCAAGGATTCACTACACCCGTATAACCTCCTATTATTATAGATCCAGGAGTCATAGATCCGTAGATACAGTCGTAACTTACGTTTGATAATACAGGTGGGCAGGTACAGAACACGCGCCTATAAAGTAAATCAGACAGACTTGTGACACACTTCGTGAGCAGCTTTGCTTGTACTATGTGTAATATTTGTGAGCTACAATTAAAGCGAGACGTTATGTGCCTTTGTAGTAGTAGTAGTGGTCTTAATTTAGAATTATTAATTGTGCAATACAATAAACAAGAAGAAAGCTATATACATACATTTGTATAACACGAAAAGGAGTAGGTAGAAGTAAAACGTATGGTAATGGTGGCTTATAGTTATATGACATGCACATAATGAAGTGTGCTCTGATTATCTATTGATTGAAATCATGGGTTACGCACACTCACCTGCATTAGTCCCATGAAAGAAAACTGCAGGAGGTTTTTGTCGAGGAATTGGCCATCAAAGAATCCGTTGTCACGAAGGTCCAAAAACATTGACATCCAGAACTCCACACATTCCTTGCGCAGAAACCCCCACCAATACTCTATTCTTTGGTTGGCTGTGCTAACACCTTCCAAGTAGCTATCAAGTGTACCATCGGTGGGGACAAGGAAGCGCTGAAATCCTCTCACATGGCCATTTTCAGTTCCAAGGTCCCCCCTCACAACTCTGGGACACCCACCTAAGCGCTTCACAGCGTCGATATAATACCCCCCGATCAACTTTGGATCACTACTTGACGTAAAGGCATTGAGCCCAATTATTTTTCGCGAGAAGCCATCGATGCACCCATTAACACATATACCATAAGGCTTCAGTTTATCATACGAGTCAAAGTGCCAGATGAAATTTTTTCCTTTGGGAAAGTAGTTCCGTCGTCTGAGACGTCTTGATTTCCTTGCTTGTACTCCTGTGGGGTCCAGCTCCTTCAACACCAGTCGAACATCCTCCTTCCTCACACGTAATCCACTTTGTCTGCATTTGGCATACATCCACCGGTACCCATGGAGTTGACCAGAGCCTCGAAGTTGCTGCGAAATGAACTCAATCACGTCCACAAGTTCTCGAGTGACTCGAACCACTGCGAGAGGTGACTGTGAACTGACATTTAGGCGGACCGCTTTCTCACAGAACGTCCTGTCATATCAGGGAGTGAGCTTCTGGAATAGTATTCCGGTGTCAGTGAGGGAAAGAACCAGTCTGCCTACCTTCAGGAGTCATTTAAAAATGTGGCTGAGGGACACTCAAACATGTGACCATGTTTAGATAGAGCTGGTGCAGTGCGGGAAACGGTTATCATTGAAATGTGGGCTGTGCAATACAGGTCCATACAAGGTGGGTCAGTGCAATAAGGGGTGGTCCAACACGGGTTAGTGTAATGAGGGCTAGTGCAATATAGAGTGGTGCAATACGGGTTAGTGCAATATAGAGTGGTGTAATACGGGTTAGTGCAATATAGAGTGGTGTAATATGGGTTAGTGCAATATAGAGTGGTGCAATACGGGTCTGTGTAATATCAAGTCAGTCAGGGCATGTGCAATACTCGGGTCTGTGCAATACAGATGATGTGTTTCTGTTACTGTTTTCTACATTGTGCTTTACTGTCTACTCTTGCTGGTTGTTCTAACATGTGATCACTGTTCCTGTCCTTGTTCTAACATGTGATCACTGTTCCTGTCCCTGTCTCTCTGTATATAAATAGTGTCTCTGTTTGTTTTTACTAACTTGTGTGTAACACCAACCTGCCAGGGGGTCTGCAGATGGAAATCAGCCTAAGGCTATAATCTGGCATATTTACATTTGTAAAAATGTTCATTAATATGTATTGTCCCCCCTTTATCAAATAAAAAAATAAAGTTAGGAGTAGTGCTTGCAACGCGATAATCCCTTTGCACGCAAAAGCTTCTTCAAATGTCTCTCGCTTATTTGAAAGTTATGCCTGCGTCCGAGAACCATTTTAATGTCCTTATACGTCAAGCCCATTTCAAAATACAGTTCTATGAATCTTCCCCACGGATGTGTGTCTGCCATTGTTGTTATGGAGATGTACCCAGAAGTTGTTAGCTATCTATCGCCAACTATTTTGGTAAGCTCATATGGTATCTCGAGATACCTCTCCGAAACAATGAGTATCTCGAGATACCTCTCCAAAACAATAGGTATCTTGAGATACCTTTTTTTTTTTACTCTACTATGCCCCTTCAGGGGCTCTGTACCATTCTGACGTTGCTTTGGGACTGTCCGAAATTGACAAAAATCTGTGTCAGCATTTTCAACAAAATGAAATTAAAGGGAAAAGAAGTCGGAAAGTGCCGGTTCTGTTGACTCCTGAAATGATTGCTTCAATGGAGGTGCTGGTGGAGAACAGAAGGGCGTGTTCTATCTCAAACCATAACCCATACTTCTTCTCCAGCCCGGGCGCAGACACTCACATCAGGGGATCAGACTCCCTATAGGCCATGTGCTAGTTCATGAAAGAGGTCTACAATTTGACTTCCGTTCCAGGATTGTGGTAATTACTATCTTTTTGCTTTATGTTAATGCTAAATAGTTACCGTTAGCCGAGAAAAAGTTCCACAAACAGAATCCCTGTTGATAATGAGAAAAGTCTTATCAAAGTTGTGGATTTGATCAAAATTTGGACATTTTAGCCTGATGTACCATGTTTGGAGGTTTCTCATTGCAGAACTACTTATTTCATCAAAACCAAAATTACTTGGCCATAAAGATCACACCAAAAATTATGTATTCCTGGAATACTACTATTATTGAAGAAATATTTCAATACCAAAATTTAAATGTGATTGTTTTTCATAATAATGAAAAACAATCACATCAAAAATATTTTTTATTTTGTTTTTGAATTTCTCACCAGGTAGGCCTAAGACACAATGTTGGATGGAAATATGGTAGCTACGCCAAAAAAGGGGGCAACAGTAACTCAGTTGGTAGAGCATTGGCCTTTAGGCCTGAAGTTCATGGGTTCGTTTCCCACCTCGACACCTTCTCCACAGGCTCCCATTGATGTCTGCTGTCGTTGTGTCCTTGGGCAAGACACTTAATCCCACTTTGCCTGAAGCCCTCGCTGAAAGATCTCAGCTCCTGTGGACTCGGCACCTGTCGTCTGCATAGTTGTGATAGGACACTTTGTTACTGCGTATTAACTGACCTAACGGCGGCATGTAGAGATTGAACAGAAGCGGTCCCAGGATTGACCCCTGTGGTACTCCACAGGTCAGGGCCATATGATCTGAGACACAGTTTCCAATCTCCACAAAGTACTTCCTGTCTTCAAGGAAAGACCTAAACCAACTTAGGGCGGTGCCAGCGACGCCAACCCAGTCCTCTAATCTCTGTAAGAGGATCTCATGGTCGACGGTGTCAAAGGCAGCACTTAGATTTAACAAGATTAAGATTGAGACTTGGCCTGCGTCAGTGTTCAGCCGGATATCGTTTGTAACCTTGACGAGAGCAGTCTCAGTACTGTGGTGGGGTCTAAAGCCGGACTGAAACATATCAAATGAATTGTTGATTATAAGAAATCTAGAAAGCTGTAGGTAGACAACTTTCTCGAGGACTTTCCCCATGAATTGCAGATTTGAGATGGGACGATAGTTGTTAACTAAGCAGGGGCGTGATGACTGCAGTTTTCAGGGCCTTTGGGAATATTCCAGAATGAAGGGACATGTTTACTATCTGTGTGAGTGAAGGAAACAGACTGCTCAGAACAGACTTCAGAAATCTAGTGGGTAGTACATCCAGGCTGCATGTGGAGGAGCTCAGACGGGAGATTATCTCTTGGACATTTTTATCATCTACAGGTGCAAAGTGAGTTAGCTCAAAGAGCCTTTCCGGCTGTTGGATTGTTATCTGTGGATTGGAGACAATGGCGTTTTTGATGCCTTGAACCTTGTCATTAAAAAAATGAGCAAACTCATTGCATTTACGTTTGGAAGTAAGCTCTAATGGCATTTGAACAGGGGGGTTTGTTAATCTATTAACTGTTGAAAACAGAACACGCAGATTGTTACTGCAGCCTTCAATCATTTCAGAAAAATACCTTTCTCTCGTTCTACGTAGCACCCGGTTAAACTCGCACAACTTATCTTTGAAGATCTCGTAATCAACCTGGAGGTTGGACTTGCGCCACTTCCGCTCGGCCCTCCGGCACTTTCTCTTCAGTGCTCTGACCGAGTCTGCTTAAGCCCACGGCGCCTTCTGCTTATTTTTCACTATTTTAACCTTCAAAGGGGCAACGGTATCCAGAACATTCAAAACACTAGAGGTGACAGAGTTAAACAGTTCATCTACAGTAGAATACAATGCATTTTCAAAGTTTATCATTCCCATAAATAGTTTACTAACTAAACTAACTAAACTATCAAAATCTGTGCATACAACTGAAAGCAACTCGGTAAAATTATCAATAAAACTGTGACATGACTGCGGTGGCTTGTATAGGACAATGAAGAGTATTGGAGGAGATTGTTTTTGCTGTATTTTAAAAGACACATATTCAAATGATGAAAACTTCCCAAGAGACATTCTATGGGACAGAAAGTGGTCTCTGAAAATGGCAGCTAAGCCTCCTCCTTTTTTGTTTTCCCGTATTTCAGATTCAAATTTGAAATTTGGTGGTGACGCTTCTATTAAAATTAATAGTTACCTGAGTAACTTACGTTCTACGAATAGGTGCGTAGTCCCTTAGCGGACTTCGCTAGTGGATATCACGTGACCCCCAGGTCCAGACGCCAGAGAGATCAAACAAAAAATGCTCCAATCACTAGCGACCCTCCTCTAAAAAAGCCCCTGCTCCATAGCCGCGCCGGCGCGCCCCCTCTTGAACTCTGCCAAGCCGGGCTGGCCTGATGGGCTCGTAGCTAAGGGACTACGCACCTATTCGTAGACCTTAAGTTACACAGGTAACTATTAATTCTACGTCATGGTGCTACGTCCCTTAGCGGACTTCGCTAGTGGGACACAACGCGGAGGCCGTAGGAACATGTACTCCCAGCAGGCCAGCGACGAGTGATTGGAGTTCTGCCCGAGCAAGACCTTCACACAGTGAGAGGACTCAGGGCAGAAGAAGCAATTGCGTGTTACAGGGCCACTCCTCCAAACGACACCCCCAAGTAACACAGACCGAAGGCCACCCGTAGTCCCAGGACGCCTCTCCCAAGAGCTCCTGACGTGGACTACCTGACTGACCAAAGCACACACATATATCGCACCTGCAGGACGCCTCTCCCAAGAGCTCCTGAAACAGGGCGGAAAGTGAACCGTCGGCCCCAAAGAGGGGAAACATAATGGTTTCAACTCAGTCCGCTGCACTAAGCACGGAATGGGCCACCGACCGGTCCGACACATCTAAAAGGTAAGACCGGACGAAAGAAGAGGACGACGCCCAAGAAACCGCACGGCATACGTCCTCGACCGAAGCCCCCCTGAGGAGGGCCGTAGAGGCCGCCACCCCACGCGTGGAGTGCGACCTGAAGCCCACCGGGGGGGGGGCCAGACCCTGAGCCTGATACGCCCGCCGCACAGCCGTGGCGACCCAGTGCGCCGCCGACAGCGGGGCGCCCCTGTTCTTGGGGCCCAGATACACAAACAGCTGATCAACCAACCTGAATGAAGATGTCATGGCCAGGTAACGCACTCTACAGAATACAATTACTCAAAATGAGTATTCTAACAATTTGAAAGTTATACCAGTTATACCACTTACTTTGAAATAGCATTCAGTAGCAACACTTTTAAACATAAAACACATTCTCACGATATTGCTAATACAAATTTATGATGGGGGGAAAACTTTCTTTCTCAAAAAGGTTATGTAAGCATTGTTAATGTATCCATGGAAATTGAATTTGGTTTATCTACACATGTTTTGTGTAGGTAATGGATATGTATAGATACCAATCATAACTGTACGTACAGAGCCACGCACATTAAGCGTCTCTCTAGAACGCTGCCAAATTACAACCCCGAGGAG